GGCTCTCCTACCCCTGGGTCCTGTCCCCCGCCCCACTGGGGCATGTCCTTGCTTCCTCGGTGGCCGATCCTGGTGCTGGGCCATCGGTGAGCCGGGCCCAGACCTCACCGCTCTGTCTGTTGCCCCTCCCAGGCCACTGCTGTCACCGTGCACTTCTATGGGCTTGTCCACTGGGAGGACCCCATGGATGAATCCCTGGGTCCCATCCCCTGCCACTGCTCACCCCCTGAGGGCACCATCACCAAAGAAGGCATGCTGCATTACAAGGCGGGCACCTCCTACTTGGGCAAAGAGCACTGGAAGACTTGCTTCGTGGTACTCAGGTGGGCGCCCCCGCAGCGCCGGCCTCAGGCTCAGTCTGGAGCTTGTTGGGCCGGCCATTGAGGAGAGAAGCCTGAGGGGGCCTCCTCCCACCCCCACAAGGGTTTTAGAGTCGACCTACCTGGGGGTATTAGAGCTTCTGTGTAAAGCCAGCCATCTTCGGGGCCTAAGGAACTCTGGGGCATCAGGTGTAGGTCTGGGCTGGGCTGCGGCCAAGCCTCTCACTGTCCTGGGTCTGCTGAGGGGGTAGCGTGCCCTCCTATGCCTCTGGTTCACAGAAGACCGGCCCCTTGGCCTCTGGGGCATCAGGCCCCAGCTTGCGGGGGGGTCCCTGGGATCTGGGCTCCACCTGGCCCCCAGTTCCTGAGACAGGCCTCACCCCTGCTATGTTGTGCCCCTGCAGCAACGGGATCCTCTATCAGTATCCCGACCGCACTGATGTCACCCCCCTGATCTCGGTGAACATGGGGTGAGTGCCCTGGCGATGGGGGGCTGGGCAGGTGTGGGGCCTGGCATCGCCGCCCGAAGGTGGGGACTCTGGCTGAGCCTGAGGCGCAGGGCTCCTGTCCTCCCTGGCTTGAGCTGACACCCCCTCTTGTGCGTCAGTTCAGCCCACCCCACTCAGCCCCCCCCGGTCCGGCAGCCCTGACTGGTCCCCCGGGGGTCTGCTGAGCTCTGAGGGCTAAAGCGCCCCGAGCAAGGGGAGGAGGGACGGCTTCCCGTTCAGGGACGCAAGAGGAACTGCTTGCCAGGAGAGGATCTGGTCAGGCCGGGGAGGGGGTCCCTCCGCTGGGAAGCTCCCGACCTGACAGAAGACGGACACACACATGCTTGGGGACAACCTCGGGCCCAGAGAGGGAGTGTGAATGAATGTGCCCTGGTCCTGAGAGGGCCAGAGCCTGGGACCCACGAGACTCTTTGCCAGCTCAAGCGAGACCAGCCCAGCCCGTGGAGCCCATTCTCACCCCTCGCCCGGCCAGGCTAACGTAGCTGGAAGGGTCTTGGCAATTCTGGAGACAGAAGTTGTTCCACAGAAAGGGGTGGGCCTGGCCAGCCGCTGTAAGCCTCTCCCGAGAGCCCAGGGGGTCCACACCACCTTCTGGTGTCCTCCCGCCTCCGGGACCGCGGCTGCAGGCCCGCCGTGTCTGCCTGCCTCGAGCCGCCCCCGTCTCCTCCTTGCCCCTCTCTCACCCTCCTCCTCTGGCCCAGGGGGGAGCAGTGCGGTGGCTGTCGGAGAGCCAGCACCACGGATCGGCCCCACGCCTTCCAGGTCATCCTTGCCGGCCGGCCGTGCCTGGAGCTGAGCGCCGATAGTGAGGCCGCCATGGCCGACTGGATGCAGCACCTCTGCCAGGCTGTGTCCAAAGGGGTGAGCGCCTCCGGCCTGCGCCGTCCATCCGGCCGCCTGGCCCTGTTCAGGATCCCCGGGGGCCCCTTCCCCAAACCCACACGCTCGGGGAGCAGCCCGTGAGGACCAGGACAGGGGCGTCCAGGGGCGGACCCGAGAGCTCAGGGCCACCACCGTCACCCCTGTCCCCACCTCCGCTTCTGAGGTGGGTGGAGCCCGTCCGATGGCTGGCCGGGCCGGAGCGGGGGCTGCTGGTGCTGGCCAGCCCGGGAGAGCGCCAGCTTGCCTCTCCCCTCCCCTCTGCCAATGCCCTTCAGGTCATCCCCCAGGGGGTAACTCCCAGCCCCTGCATCCCCTGCTGCCTAGTGATTACCGACGACCGCCTCTTCACGTGCCACGAGGACTGCCAGACCAGCTTCTTCCGCTCCCTGGGCACGGCCAAGCTGGCTGACATCAGTGCCGTGGCCACTGAACCGGGCAAGGAGTACTGTGTCTTGGTGAGCTGGGCCGGAGGGGGGAGCAGGCCCTGCAGGAGGGGCGCTGCATCTGCTCACCTGGGGACCTGCTCTCCCCAGGAGTTCTCCCAGGACAGCCAGCAGCCCCTCCCCCCCTGGGTCATCTACTTGAGCTGCACATCTGAACTGGACCGATTCCTGTCTGCACTGAGCTCGGGGTGGAAAACCATCTACCAGGTACCTGGCCGCCCAGGGCCCCGAGGAGTGAATGGAGCCAGTCCCTGGGGAAGGGTGCCCTGCACGGTACAGAGGCTGGAGTCAGGGGCCTGGGGACAGCACTGTACCAGCAGCTCCGTGCACCTGAGGCTACAGCTGATAGTCGAACCCAGGAAACGCCGCTCCTGACCTTGGTCCCATGGTGCGGGTGTGACTCTGGGGTTCCCACGGCTCCCCGGAAGAGCGGGGTCCCGGCCGCAGCCCTCACAGATTCCCTCCGTACCCCCACACAGGTGGACCTCCCCCACAAGGCCATCCAGGAAGCCTCCCACAAGAAGTTCGAGGATGCCCTGAGCCTCATCCACAGTGCCTGGCAGCGGAGCGACAGCCTCTGCCGGGGCAGAGCCTCCCGGGACCCCTGGTGCTGAGGCAGAGCCAGCCGGCAGCCCGGGGGCCGAGAGAGGCCTGCCGAGCAGCACCGCTGTCCTCGCTCCAGGCCAGGCTTCCAACCGTGTTCATAGCCCACTCCCACCCTGGGGGACAGAAGCACCGGCCGGGGCTCGAGGCAGGGTCTCTCCCCTCCCAGGGACCCAGAGCAGGTGCTCCACGCTCTCGGGCATCCCACCCGGCCAGTGGTGACCGGAGGGCGCTGGGGCAGAGGGTCTGAGCCCTATGGGCTCTGCGTACGCACGGCACGTGCAGATGCATATGCCTCTCTTCCGGGTAGCGACGAGAGTCATGCCAACTCTGAGGGGGAGCGAAGGACTGAGAGAGCAGGAGTCCCCCCTTCCTCTCCTGGGTCGGGGCTCCGGACCGGGGCCCGGCCGTCCTCGTTCACTTTTGACCACTCAGCTGGCTGTGCAGGGGACCTGGACGCTCGGGCCTCCGTGCATGCTCCCTCCTCACCAACTCCATCCCCAGGCACACTGCTGTCTGCCTTGCGAGGGCCCCCGTCCCCCCGCTGGGGACCGGGCGGGGGGGCAGGGGGGTAGGCTGGGCGGCCCCTCCCTGGCTGCTCGGAGGCCCTGCATGTCCTCGGCCCCTGCCTCTTCCCAACCCGCAGTGCCCAGCGGACCCAGGAGGACCTGGGAGGCAGGCCATGTCCTTCTGCCGGGAGCAAAGGGGAGGGAGGAGGGCTTGGAGAGGAGCAAAGCCCCCCAGCGTGGCGTCCCGGAGTGTGCCTCCTGACCATCCCCTGCTTGGCTGGAGTCGGGCCCTCTGGGGGAAGAGGTCAGATGGTCTGGGTTTGGTTTTTGGTTTTTTTTTTAAATAAAATAGACATGTTATATTGCCAAGACTTGTCACAGGCCCTTTTTGACCAGGCTGGAGGTGGGGGATCTCCAGCCCCCCTCTAAAGCCCCGCGGCCATTCATTCCCTGATTTTCTTCCGTCAGCTGCGCAGTGCTGACACTGGGCGCCCGATCACCCGCTGCCCCCATGCTGCTCTCTGGAACTCAGGCCCTGAGGGTTTCTAGGCCTGACCTTTTCTCTCCCTATTTCCTGCAGTGCCCAGGGGAGAGGAAGCCACCCCACTAGTCCCCTGTCTGCACGGCCAGGGCAAGGCAGTCCACGGCCAGCCTCCCCAGCTCTGGGGACGAGGGCCAGCCATTTGGGATAAACTCAGGAGAGTCCAAGCCGTCCCCAGACTTCTTGTTGAGCTGCTGCCCTGGGGCCCGGCCAGAGGGTACTGCCAGGCTTACCAGGCGCAGGTGGCGAAGGGGAAGGTGCCCTGAGGCGCTCAAGCACCCTGCACTGCCACCTCCAGGCCCTCACACCTGGGAGGAAAGGGGTGGGTGCTGGGAAGGGTGGGCATGGAGGCTATCGAGGTGGGTTCCAGGCAGGGTGGCTCCGCCTCTGGTTCTGACTAGGACTTGGGTGATGCGGGCTGTCCGTGGCAGGAGGGAGCTACCCTGGGGACAGGGGCCAAGGTGGGCAGGGTGGTGCTGGCTCCCAGGGGTGTGAGGTCCCTTCTGACAAAGGGCCATTTCCATGCCAGGGCCTCTCCTCTGGAAACCTACAGCCCAGAAGGGGCTCCCTCCATGAGGGGGGCAGGACGGGGGCGGGCAAGTCCCCATGGGGTGAGTGACCGAAGCCACGGGCCACTCCTTGAGACACACGGCTCAAGGGTCCTGAAGTCCTGGGAGGCAGGGACGGGGTGAAAGGAGTCAGAAGTGGGGGCGGGTGGGGGTGGGGAATGTGGACCATCTTTTACCGGTGAAGCCCTGTGCCGGGCATGTTCTTCACACACCTCTAGTCCTCCAGAAATCCTCTGGGGTAGGTATTGATATTCCCATTTTACAAACAGACTGAAGCTACGAGAGAGGAAGTGATTGCCCAGGGTCACACATGATAGATGGCAGAGCCTGGGATTCAAAATCAGTTCCACAGGGCTTGAGAAGCCCTTCGCCCCCTCTGCTCACCCTGACAGTGGGACCATAGACCGTGGGAGCCAGACTGGAAGACCGAGGCCGGGAAAGGGGAGCCACAAGGACGGCGCAGGGTGGCTGTGGACAGCTGCTGCATCGCCTGGGCACGCGGTTTCAGGAGCCTCCCCAGGCAGTCGCCCCTGGGCCTAGGGCTCTGAGCTGCCGCAGGACTGGCTAGACCAGAGGTGGGGCCAGGGCCACCAGCCCTTTGCCCCAGGGCCAGAGGGAGGACGGGAAGACCAGAAAAGCAGGAGGAGGTGTCTCAGCTGATTGGCAGCTTCTCCCCGCCCCCAATCTCCCTCCTGCCCCAGGTGACCTTTTCCCCAGATCCCAGGGTCCAGGCACACCCCTGCCGGGAGGTGCGGACAACAGCGACAGCTGGGATTGGTCAGAGCCAGCGGGGACGTGTCCCAGGCTCCGCCAGCCCTGGTGGCTGAGCAGAGCAGGTGGACTCCCAAGATAGACCAGGAGCCACTGGCCTACCAGACTGGGACCTCTGCCCTCCACACATGGCCCCAGGCCCCCTTGGTCCCCAGCCCTGTGGCCGTGCAGGGGTGTGGACAGCCTAAGCGCCACCACCCCAGGGCCTGTGCCCATGTCCCTGACCCAGGCACGGCCGGCCTCAGGAGCAGAGGCCATGGAGACAGTTGCCCCAGCTGTGGACCTGGTGCTGGGCGCCTCGGCCTGTTGCCTGGCCTGCGTCTTCACCAATCCCCTAGAGGTGGTGAAGACGAGGCTGCAGCTGCAGGGGGAGCTGCAGGCCCGCGGCACCTACCCACGGCCCTACAGGGGCTTTTTGGCCTCCGTAGCAGCTGTGGTCCGTGCAGACGGGCTGTGTGGCCTGCAGAAGGGGCTGGCCGCTGGCCTCCTTTACCAGGGCCTGATGAATGGTGTCCGCTTCTACTGCTACAGCCTGGCGGGCCAGGCTGGCCTCACCCAGCAGCCTGGTGGCACCGTGGTCGCGGGCGCCGTGGCTGGGGCACTGGGAGCCTTTGTGGGGAGCCCTGCTTACTTGGTGAGTGCCTTGTCTCCATCCTCCACCACCCCATGACCCATGACCCAGCTCCCTCGTGGGCTCTGGAGCCTTCCAGGCTGACTCCGGTACCAGGTCGGGTGGGGCAGGCTGGGTGGGGCCGCTCCAGGAACATCCCCTGCCCGGGGATTGGAATGCGCCCCTGGGCCCAAGGCACAGGAGTCTTGCCCCGATGCTCCTTCTCCTGGGGTCCCTGCTCCACTGGACCTGGGCCGGGGTTGCGGGGGGAGGGCAGAGGGTGGCAGGACCGGTGCTGGCTCAAACCCAGCGTGGAGGCCCGTCTCCCTGTGTGGCTGAGCAAGTTAAGAATAAGCGAGGCCCCCGCGTCCTAGGCTGGATGCGGAATAGTCATGATCCCACATAGTCAGAACAGCTTGTCCAGCGGAGCAAAGAGGCCGGAGAAGGTCAAACACAGACCCAGGCCGACTTCAGATCCCCCCCCAACCCTATTCCCCACGCCCCCTAAGCTGGGGGTGTGGGCTCCTGGAGGCCTGGACGTCGGGGTACAGCTCGTCCAGTCCTCTGTCACATCCGCTCTCACAGGTCAAAACGCAGCTGCAGGCCCAGACGGTGGCCGCGATGGCCGTGGGGCACCAGCACCATCACCAGGTAGGAACTGTCACGCCCCAGAGCCCCCCAGGCCGGGTGGGCTGGAGGGGCTGCTGGGCTGGCAGGGGCTGCCCAGTGACCCGGTGCCTTTCTTCTCCCTCACAGAGCGTTCTGGGTGCCTTGGAGACCGTCTGGCGGCAGCAGGGCCTGGCAGGGCTGTGGCGGGGCGTGGGTGGGGCCGTGCCCAGAGTCATGGTTGGCTCAGCGGCCCAGCTGGCCACCTTTGCCTCTGCCAAGGCCTGGGTGCAGGAGCAGCAGGTGAGTCAGGGACACCTGAGTCTGCCCACAGACACAACAAAGTCAGAGCCATCTGCCTCCTTCCTCCCTGTGCGGGCCCTCATCACACCCCGACATCTCCAGCTGGACCCCCACCTAGGGAAGCCCAGGGGGAGGGGACGGACAGGGCCCCCGAAGAAAGCTGAGGACCCCGGCTCTGCCCCTGTGCCCAGCAGGGGTGGGGGCCGGCAGTGAGCCCCGAACCGTGAAGGAGCTGGGCCGGGGCAATGGCTGGAGGGGCCTGGTCTGCCACCTTACCTCCAGCTCTTCCGGCCCCCAAGTGCTGGGAGGGGAAGGTGGGCACCTGCAGGGGTCAGAGTCTGTCCCGTCCCCACAGTGGCTCCCGGAAGACAGCTGGCTGGTAGCCTTGGCTGGAGGCATGATCAGCAGTGTCGCTGTGGCTGCCGTCATGACCCCCTTCGACGTGGTCAGCACACGGCTGTACAATCAGCCCGTGGATGGAGCCGGCAGAGTGAGCAGGGGAGGGTGCGGGGGAATGTGGGGAGCTGGAGAGCACGCCCCAGCACGCACGCGCGCACACACACACACACGCACACACACGCCCCAGCACACACGCGCACACACGCACACAGAACCAGAGACATGCAGACATGTGACACACACACAAACATGTTGATTCGGCTTGTTTGCTGAACACCCATGTCCCGGGCACAGGCTAAGCATGTTCACACCTGGATTTTGTTCTAGCCTCACAACCACCTTCACTTTCCTGATGAGGAAACGGAAGGTCAGGGAGATCTAGTGCTGTGCCTGAGGTCACCCAGCTGCTAAGTGCAGGAACCTGGCCAGGAGTCCAGGCTGGACTCACGGCCCAGCAGACACACACGGGCCACCCCGTACCCTGGCGCGGGTTGTGCTCAACACAAAGGTGCCCTCCAAAGGCTGAGCTCGGGACGAAATCCACTCATGTGCCACTAGCCAAAGCTCGGCCCCGGGGCATGGGCTGTGGCTGCCTGGAGGAAGAGGTCTCTTCATAAATGTCACAGCCTAAAGAGCCACCTTTCTGGAAGTTGCCAGCTTGGGGAGAGTCTGTCTACTGATGTGCCGCAGAGGCCCCTACACACAGACACACCCGCTTGTGGTAGCCAGGGCTCCATGACCCCGCAGTGACCTCCGCCCTGTGTCTGTCCCCAGGGCCGGCTGTATGGTGGACTTGCCGACTGCCTGGTGAAGATCTGGCGGCAGGAGGGCCCCCTGGCACTCTACAAGGGTCTGGGCCCGGCCTACCTGCGCCTGGGCCCCCACACCATCCTCAGCATGCTCTTCTGGGATGAGCTCCGGAAACTGGCTGCGCGGGGCCAGCGCCAGGGCACCTAGGCGGCATCCCTCATCCCCGTATCCTGACACAGCCCAGGACCTGGCAGGAAGCGATGGCCCGCTCCGGCTGGGAATGGCCGTCTCAGAGCAGGCTACAGGCCCAGACCCTGCCACACGTCCGAGGAGAGTGTGGACAGCTCTGGTCAACCGAGACCCCTGGCCCATTCAGGGCCTGAGCCTCTGCTCTGGATCACCAGCCACTCTGTTCTCCCGCAAGTTCTCTTCCCTCTCTGCCTGGGTTACCTCATCCCAGAACCTTACCCATGATTACAATAACGGCTCCAGGGCATGACGGTCACCGCGAGCTGGCTCACTCACATGCATCCACTTGCTTAGTCCTCGAACAGTACGAGACAGTGAAATCATCTCGTACCAAGAGGAAGCTGAGGCTCAGCAAGGTAAAGTGCTTTGACCAAAGCCACACAGCTTTGAAGGGATGGAGCCAGGGCTGGATCTTAGCTCTGCCCAGTGCAGACTGGTGCCCCTGGCAGGAGCCAGGACCCTGGGGGCTGGAAGGCCCCTGAGTGTCACTAGTCATGGGGAGGCTCCAGGATGCACCAGGAGGCTGTCATGTCACACCTGCGTGATGAGCTCAGGCTGCCATAAAAAGCGCCTCAGACCAGGGGTTCAAACAACAGATCTTGTCTCAGTCTGGAGGCTGGAAGTCCAAGATCAAGGTGTCAGCAGGGTTGGTTTCTCTGAGGCCTCTGTCCTTGGCGGCCCTGGGTCCTCACATGGTCTTCCTTCTGTGCCTGTGTCGGAATCTCTTCTAATAGGGACACTAGTCGTGTTGGATTAGCACCCACCCGAATGTCCTCATTTTAACTTAATTACCTCTGTAGAGACCTCGTCTTCAAGGACAGTCACAGACTGGGGGTTAGAACTTCAGGATATGAATGTGGGGGAGGGGGGGCCTAATTCAGCCCGTAACATCAGCTGAGAGCTTTTACTGGGGGCCTCCTAGATGCCCAGCACTGGTGGCGTTTGCACAAATCCTCATGACCATTCTGAAAGGGAGCTCTTGTGATGCCCATTCTTCAGATGAGGAGGCTGAGGCCCGGCGCAGGGAAGTGACTTGCTTAAGGTGTCCTCACCCCGGGCCCTTTCCCCAAGCTGCAGCCACACACCCCCACTGAGTATGTTCCTAAGGCTCGCGCCGACCTTTGTGCTTCAGAGATGGACACCGAGTACCTGGAAGGGACACGACTGGCCCAGGTCAAGCAGCCTGAACCGCCACACCCCACGTCTGCCGTTCCAAGGGCACGGTACCCATACCGCACACTCCAAACCAATAAAGTTTTCTATTTTGTTTATTTCCACGACTCCCTTCTGCTGGCAGCCTCAGTCTCCCCCACCCGTGAACCCCCACCCTTGGCTCGCTCTCCTCAGTTGGAAAGGAGGATCCAAAAGTTTTGGGGCAGGCCAGTGGCACCCCACCACATCCAACCCGACAGAGGCCTGCCACCTAGTGGACACGGGGAGGGCCGTCAAGGAAGGCTGCCCCGTGGCTGAGGGAGAGGACCCAGACCCGGATCTCAACCTCAGGCTGTTGGGGGATAGATGCCCTCCCTCCAGACCTCAGGCTGAGGATGCTGAGCCTCAGGCTGTGGGGACACAGACCCCGCCTTCCAGAACTGGGGCTGAGGGGGCAGAGCCCAGATGCAAGGCTGGGGGCTGGGGCAACAGCGACACCTGGGGCTTCAGGAAGGCCCTGTGGGGCAAGCCCTAGCCGAGGCTGAAAAAGTGGGCCCCCGACTTGAGCGCGGACAGAGGCCAGAGACCAGTGCTAGAGATGCCCGCCCCCACCCCCCACCCCCGCCCCGTGTCATGCCGCCCAGATGTGAGCCCCTGAGCAGTGGGTTGGCTCCCTGGGCCCATAACCCTGCAGCCCTGAAGGTGTAAGTCCCCTGCCTCCCCTCCCGGGCCCTCCCCTGTCCTCCCCTCCGTCCCCCCTTCTGACCCCTCCCCTCCCGGACTTCTGACCCCTCCCGCCCCTCCCCTCCCTCCACTGACACCTTTGCCCCATGACGTCGGTCTCTCTGGTGCAGACCTGGCCAGAGGCTGGGTCTGATCCCGGCGGCCATGTTCTCCCTGCCATCCTTCGCCTCCTGGCTCCCCAGCCTCCCCTCCCTCCAGTGGGGCTCCGGCCTCCTCGACTCTGTCCTTCAAGGTGAGCGCCGCCTCCTCATCCCGCGCAGCCCCGCCCCTCGGGCCCCTCTGGGCCCCGCAGGGTGGACCCCCCACGTGGGTCTCGCACCACCTCTCACCCTGCCAAACTCGCTTGCCCTCCCTCCTGCCCCTCAGGCCTCATCGGGGCCAGTGGAGTCTCGGTCCTGAACAGCCTCCTGAAGGTCTACTTCTTTGTGAACTGTGCCAAGTGAGTGTCTGCCAACCCAGCCCACTCCCGGCCCCTCCCTGGGCCCTGGGCCCTGAGCTGACTCCAGCCTCCGTGGGGGAGGGCTGGAAGGAAGAGAACCCCGTCCCCAGGGTGCGTTTCTGGGGGCATGGGGTCCGCTGCCTGGGCCCAGGCTGGTGGTTCTGCCCCTGCCCACGCCCGCTCTGCCCGACAGCAACTCCGAGCGGCGGCAGGAGAAGCAGCGGCTGCAGGCCCAGTGGGCCTTGCTGGAGATGGTGCACCTGGCGGGGCTGGCCCTAATCCTGACCGTCCTGGGGGCCCGGGTGGCTGCCCTGGTGGTGCTTGAGTTCTCCCTCCGGGCTGTCTCCTCACTGCTCTCCCTGGGCAAGGTAAGGCTTCCAGAGGAGGTGAGTCACGACCCAGCCCTGGGCCCTAGTTTTCCCCCTAGAACACAGGAACCTGGGCCCAGCTGGAGCACCCTGTCTCCTCACCACCCCCTTTCTGTAAGGCTGAGACTGGAGAGTGCAGATTGCCTCCGGGGGTTGGGAGCCCAGTCCCCGCTGCCGGCCCACAGTGGCCCAAAGCCCCAGGCCAAGAAGACGGCGGTGGCAGCTCCAGGCTGTGGAGCTCCCCACGTGCCAGGCGCCGTGCCAGATACTTTGGGGGCATCATCTTGCGCATCCTCACAATCACAGGGGGTAAAGCTCTGCTGTGATGGGGGCACTAAGGCTCAGAGAGGGTGAGCGGCTTGTCCCAGGTCAACCAGCAAGAAGCAGAGGCAGGATTTGAACCCAGGTCTTCAAGGCTCCAAACCACCAACCTTCAGAAAGTAACAATCGTGAGGAGATCAGGCAGAAAGAAATGGTCCCAGGAAGGGCTTGACCCGAAGGCGGTATTCCTTCTCTGGGGACGATTCCCAAGGTTCCTTCTGGCTCCAGCCTCCTACAGAGTGGTCTGTGTGCCTTCACAGCCGCCTGGGCCTGTCCCCAGCCCCCGTGAGAGAGGCAGCCCCCCGCCACCACGGCCCCTCTTCCGCTTCCTTCCCTCCCCCCACCTCCCCCTGCGCAGGGCTCCGAGAGGGAGAGGCTGCAGCTGTACCTGCTGAGCCAGTACTCACTGGGCTGTGGGCTGACCTGCGGCCTGAGCTTCCTGCAGGAGGGCGCCCCTCACCGCACCCTGAACCTGCTGCTGGGCCTCTGGCTGGCCACCCTGCTCAGCGCGGGTGCCCGGCGCCTCTGCCGCCACGTCTGCCAGCTCTACGACGAGCTGCACAGCGGCCTGCGCTGCTGCGGGCTCTGCCTGGGCCTGCTGGCTGGCGCTCACGGCCTCCCCCGGCTGCTGGCCCGCGCCCTGGCCGTGGCCTTCGCTGTGGGCGACCTGGCAGCCGTGGCCCTCGTCAACCGGGACTTCCCGACCACCTCGGACGCCGTGCGCTTCTGGATGCCGCTCATCATCTGCTACACCCTGCTGGTCATCTACATGCAGGGTGAGGGCCACCGCTGGGGACCTGGGCACAGCATCATCACGCTAGGCCCTGGGGAGGCCAGCCCCGGTTAGACAACCCCCCTCCCCGCCATCCCAGGGCACCCAGTCTAGTGACAGAAGCCATAGGGAACAGCTCAGGGAAGGGTGTGGCGTGCGACGGGAGCCCTGAGGAGATGGAGCTTGAATTGGGTTTTGAAGGATAACTAGGAGCCCCTGGGAGAGGTGGGGGGTGGGGGCAAGGAGGTCCCGGCAGGGGAAACCACACATGCCAAAGCCCAGAGGTGAGAGAAGGCACGACGTTGTCAAGCTGGAAAAAGTTGAGTGTGGCTGTCACCCCGGAGGGAATGGGGAGGGGATGAGGCTGGCCAGCTTCATGGGGGCCTGATGGGGAGCCCTCATCAGCCAGGCTGGCCGGCGGCTGAGAAGCCACTGCAGGTTGTCAGCAGGGGAGAGTGACCTGGGGCCCCAGGCGTGGCGGCAGGCGGTGACAAGCACCCCCCCCGCCAGAGGAACAGCGGCAACACCCCGGCCTGCAGAGCCAGGTCCAGACGTTGCTGGTGCGCATGGGTGGCCTCTTCGTGCTGCTGCTGACCGTGGGCTGCTGGCTGGACCTCCTGGGAGTCCTCCTGTCCCTGCTGGGCGAGCTCTGGTGCCTGGCAGGCAGCCGCACTCTGCTGAACCTGTGCCGGATACAGGTGGGCACTCCACCCCGAGCGTCCGCCGGACACTGAGCCCTGCCCCAGACAGCGCGAGGAGCCTCAGCACGCCCCAAGTTTACAAAGAGCTGGGGTGACCTCTCTTGGGGTGGGGGCAGAAGGAGCTGAAATCCCCTCTTCCTCCTAGTGTTAACCTTTGACCCCTCAGAGGTCCCGAGTGGGAGGAAGGGCCTGGGTAATCGGAGGCCTGAAGTCCCCCACCAGCGGATGGGGGAACTGAGTGGTGTCCTCCATCTTTGCCTCCCCGCCTTCTCTCAGGATTTTCCATCCCAGAGGCCTTCGGGGTCAGCTCCCAGGCAGTCCCAGCCCCAGCGCTCAGCAGCTGCCCAGCCCCAGGACACAGCCCCCTCCTGACCTGCCTTAGCAAGGACTTGAAGTCCGTCTTGGGCCCACCCAGGCTCATCTGGAGGCCTTGACTCCAGGACACTGCCCCGCAGCAGAGG